CACAAAAAATAATAGGCAAGCAGTGTCATGTATAACCTTGTAGCAACACAACCAAAGTAGCAACTACTAAACATAAAGCTATTACTGCAACTTTTATTTTAAAGTTACTATACAAAGATCTCCTCCTTATAGGATGTTTCTGTAACATGCAGTGGTAATAAAGCAAGAATAAATTGATAAAGAGGAGTAAAACTTAAAACAAATAGTTACATATGATTCTGAATTAATTTTTAGTTAAAAATTTACCTCAAAACTCACTCAGTGCCATTACCCCCTCTTACTTTCTATTTTTCTTTCTAAAAATGGAGAACATCTTTATACTAGAAGTAACTCTATGGTGGGGGTTCTTAGCTTTCATATCAGAAATTGGAATTAAGTTTTCTGGTGTTTGGCCCCATAAGAGAACAAGTAAAAAGCATTTGTCATTCAGATACCTGCTTCTGTTTTACTCAACAGAATGATACAGAAAAATAACATTTGAAGTATAGAAGTTTGCATAAGTAGAAGTTACAAAGATCTTAAGTGTACAGTTAAGTGGTCTTTTATAGGCTCTCTTATAGTTTCTGAGCACTTAGCAAACATTAAGAAAGTAATTATTTCCTCCACTGTAAGATTATTTTTCATTATTTCATGGTGGAGAAGATTTTTTTTTACTTTATCAATCTCTGGTGGATCTCTAAAATCCATTTAATCTTAATATACAGCAGTTGTATGTTCTGCACACAATTGCAGGTAACACAGTTGTTTGAGGCTTATTATCATCTGCAGTTTTTCCTGTTGATAAGTCCATTTCTCAGCTTCAGGAGTTTCAGCAGGACTCCAGATTAGCCTCGAGGGTGTTCTGAACTGTAGGCTCCAAGGTGTGCAGCGAGGTAAATAAACCAAGCTTACTTCTGCTGCTGGTGTGCATTGGTCCTGTACTACAGGTTTAGGTCAAACAAATACAAGTTTAAACATTTGTAAGGCCATTTAATTGATATTTTTCATTCCTACCACCATTTCAGGACAGTGCAGGGTATTATTCTAAAGAGAGCATACAGCTACAGTGAAAAATTGGAAACTCAAAGGAAATGCCTAAGAGAGGTTTGGATTATTTGGAAGTGGTATCACCTGGATACTTAGATTAGAATTAGCAGCAGAGGAATAGCTAATTAGACTTCTTTTTCCAAGTGTTTTGATAATTTAGGTGAAAAAAAAATATTCCTACACTGGGATATGTGCTTCTAAATGCTTTTGAAATACAATGTATAAATTGTCATCATTACATCTCACTGGTATATCTTCCCTGAGCAGGTAGCATAAAATTCTGAAAATAAATGTTTCAGAGATTCACATCACTGACTCAGTGGCAGGTCTTGTCACCTTCCCATGATAAATTTTCACAACTATAAGAGTTAGAAACAGCTTTTTTTCTAAATAAATGCATCTTAGCTGAGTTGTCAATATGGCAATAATCATCTCAAAAGAGCAACTCTCCTAGAATCTTCAGAACTGGTGAAAATATCTGAATGGCAGCAAACTCTGTGATGGAGAATGTACAACATAGATTAAAGTGATCCAGCCCTCTAAAAAACACCCAGATTTTTACAGCCCATTGTGGCCTGCACAGAAGTTTTAGATTAAATACTAGTTGCATTGAGAGGATAATTTGAAAACAGTCTCTTTTTAATGTGCACAGGAAAAAGTTTTCAAATGGTACAGAAACTCACACAGAGATGCATTAAAAAGTATTAAAAATTGGTTGTGGCTTTAATTTGGGGACCAAAACCAGCAGTATCTTCTGTTATTTCAGGTTCTGCAGCTCTAGAAATGGTTCCTGCTGAAAGGTTTAGTGGAGTATCAGTGGCTGTTGGTGTTTCACAGGGTTTGTATTGCCTGCTCTGCTATCATGAAATGGATCTCTTGCCTTACATACAGATCGTGTTGAACAGGCTACAGTCACCAGGAGAGCAAGAACAGACTTGGATAAGCACAAGCAGGGAACTGACTCAGAATAACAACAATTTCTGCTGTGAGAAGTTCTAGCCCACATTTCTTCCTGGCTTTCCAATTTCAAATAACTGAGTTACACAATCAAGAGTCTCTCTATAGCTCTTCAGAAATTCAGGGCCAGAAGGAAAATATTTTCTTTTAGTGCAGTAAATTTTGAAGGAGCTGTACAACATTGACATTATCTTTAAAATGGGGACTACTATCAAATGGACTTCTGTTGGTTTTTCTGCCTAATAGTTAACATTATCAATCACAAGACTATGTGGCACAGAGAAATCCTCATTTTCTTTGAAAAGCCATTTGACTTTCTTTAACCGTAACTTTAACTGCACTTTGCTCCAGTGTTTGTTTGGGCTGAAAACAAATTTATATTAAGTAACATATAAGCATATATATAATTTACAGGTCTATAAATAGATTTCCTGCTAATGGCTGTCAGTTCTGCAAGTGATTAAAAGGTTTTTGGAATACAGGATGAAGAGACTTTTACTACAAGGTTCTGGTAGGATAACATGATCCCCAGGCATAAAAGAATTTTTGACATGACACTCTAATAGATTGTTGTGTACTCAATAGTAATGGAGTTTCTTAGCAAATTAGTCTTTTCCAGTTTCTTCCCTACATAACCTTTCAGCTAGTGGAGAGGTAATTTCAAAGTTATGAGATCTTCTCTTTCATGAAAATGGGAGTCAGACAGGAGAGAGCCCCTATTACTCACTCTTTCATAAACATGTAATAATTTTTAGGACTCCAACAACTCCAGCCACAAGATCTGATCCTTTGGAACTGGTGTTTCCTTAATTGCTCACAGAACTACTTCATTAATTTTGCAAACAATCATTGCTAAAGAGTGTTGCACTATTTTATTAAATTATATATAATGCTACCCTGTACTTTCGGTGACATTTGACCACCTGAAAATGAATTTGTAGCCTGATGATATTTTGATTTGAACATCATAGTCACAAAGTTTGTGAATTGAAATAATTTTAGAAGCTGAAATGTTCTCATGTGCAATGGGTTCGAGGCGGTCTGAATTGCTAATAGTGTTTCCCTCACAAATAACAGTGATTCCTAAATCAGCTTGTTCACCTTTAAACATGGGGTCAGTTTACTCAGCCCCACTTTTTGTAGTGGGGAAACTATTTGTTTCCCAAATAGTGCACACAAGCTCAGTAACAATGAATAATTATTCCATGTATGTCTAGAAAGCTGAGAGGATTCCGAGAGCTTAGACAGACAGTCTATTTATTTCTTATATCTTCTATTAGTATCTCCTTCCTGAATTGCAACTTAAAATGATCAAAAGTCTTTTCCTTCTTCAGTGGATACAGTATACCAAACTGTGAACCTGACTGTCTTACGATCAATAACAGAGCAAAGTGATCTACCAGGTGTCATCTCTGATAAATTTTAACGGAGGCTGTGCAAAGTCCTTCAGGAAATGCTGATTCTGATGTAGCTGTCATTGCTGCTACACAGAGCTTGAACTCTACAACAGCGGCCTGTCCATATGTAGAAAAATAACTTCTTCTTTCCTAGCCTTTACAACAATTTTATCAGTTTTCTTCAGCTTATCTGCTAAAGATTTGAAGTTCAGAAAATAACATGTAATGATTGCTTAATTTGGGGAGAAAGTGATCTTCTAGAGCTTTATATAACTTAATCTCTGGATCAGGTCCTCTACCTGACTTGCTGTCCTCAGATTGTCCTTTCACTGCCAAGCACTAACTTGGACTCTGACCTCTCTGACAGGAGTTTTCAGAAGGTAACGAATTATTCTGGTTTGTGTTCTAGTAGCCATTGTAACATAATTTCTCTTAGACTTCTCACCTTATGCACTGTACCCAAGTGCCTTTTCTTCCCTGTAGCACTGTGCTTTTTTCTACATTGATATAAAGTATACACTGCTTTTTCTGACACTAGAGCATGTAGTAGACATCCTAGAAATAGGAGTTTAGTCAACATTTTCTCTGCACCTATGTTTTTATACATATTTAGATTGTTTCTTTCAGAGATAAGAAATCTCTGTTCTGAATTTTCTCTCCTTTTAATTCATAAATTTCCTCAGTTAATCTTCCCTTCAATAAATACTTATAAATCCCATATAATCACCTCCTTGGTAATGTGCCACTATGGAAACATATCTTGATTTTTTTGCTGGTTTCTACCGCCAGTGCTAGAAATAAGTTGAAAAAAAATTGTTCAGTTCATATTTTCCATGCCTCTGACTAACCAGGCATCCTCTTTGTGTTGTGAAGGCAAAAAAAAAAAAAAAAAAAAAAAGACATGGACCATGGCAGATGGCCTCTCTGTCTGAGTAAGAGAATCCTTTAATGGACCAAGGTGTGGCATATAATCAGTGTGATCAGCAGATGCTTATGTGAATAAAAGAAATAAAACTTCGGAGAGGACAGCATTTTTTCAGCCAAGATACCTGTCTGGATAATATTTTGTGTCAGAAATTGACCTGACAAATAAAATTCCTGATTTCTGCTATCTGAAATATCAACTGGAACATTCAAGGTAAAGTTTGAATTTCCCTCAGCAGTGAGATTTTCAGAAGAAAGCCAGCCAAAATTAAAAACTATGAAGGAAGATATCTTGCTTAGTATTAAGAATGTACACCATACTCTGCCTAAAAAACTTTTTTTAACCATTATCAAGCTTTTTTCTTAATATTTCTCTTTATTTGAATTAAAACTGTGTGCCAGGAACCTGGGCAATAAACTACCAATGGTACCTTGTGCTGATGTTGTGTTACAAGATTAAAAAAAAAAAAAAAAAAGTATTAGCTGGGAGAAAGATAGGAGGTTTTCCCCTACATCTGGTAAAGGTGTCTGAAACAAGCCAAATTCTGGACATGTATCACAAATATCAATTTTGAAACTATTGAATCAAGACAGGCTTCAGCTCCTCTGGTGAAATCCTGTGAAAAATGAAAAACCACTATCAAAAATTCATAGTATCATCTCACGCTAAAATCCTGTGATATCTCAGATTCTCTGTGCAGTAAAATAAATATTGTATTTTATTTATTTCCTATGTAGTAAAACCCAAAATTATCTCATGCATCTACCTGTGCATTATTGAAAACCATAAAAAAAATCTCACAGAATTCAAACATAAATTATAGTGATTTCTGTATAATTGATACAGTTTTAAAAGTACATAGAAACTCCAGTAAGTGCAACTGTTTAAGTCTTAGATGAAGTCTTCTCCAACATGTCAGCCTTCTGTTTCAGTCAACTTTCTTCTCCCATCTTGCTTACCATGTCACCTTCTACAACTTAGATTCTTAGGGTTGCTCTGCATGTTGGTTCTCCACCGTTCTTCCACTCTAATTCTTTAGGCTGTTGTTATTTCTGAAAAATAAAACATGTGACTTTAATTAACAAAAACTTCCTCCCCCGCTTCCCTTGTGGAGTCCGGTCATTTAATTTTAAACTGTACTCACTGTTGCAGCCATTGCTGCTTGTAGTTTCAACTAGGTTGGCACCATACTCTGAAGAATTTGTCCTTGGAATAGAAACTTTCCTGACCGTAAAAAACAAAAAGGAGACAATAGAGAGAGAGAAAAATACACACAGAGTGAAAAATGTTATCAAGGAAGAGACAAATTAATGGAATGAATGATTTTTCCATTGGAAAAAGTGAATGGATCTTCCCCAATTACTTTCTACTTAATACTCATTTTGAGAAGCATGTGTTTGAGAGAGAAGAACAGAGATCAGAGGGCAGTACAGCATTTGGAACTACCTGGCTTCGCTCCTGAAGGTAATGTTCCTGTTTGTCTGATTTCTTAGGTCTTTATTTAAACAATTAGTAAATAGCACAGAATTATTTATCAATTCTCTTAGTGTTTGGAAATGATGTGTAATTTTCCACACTTTGTTGAAGAGGAGCAAATCTTGTAAGTGGAGCTGATCATTTGCTGTCTAGTTCTCTTTCTTTTAATAGTAATCAGACATCTGCTCTCTTGAGAAGAGTCATGAGCTATTCTCTGTTCTGTCCAGTTTGTGTCCTGGGGTGATGCGACTCCTCCACAAAGTCTGTTGTCTTGGACAGCTTAAATGGCTTTATTCCTAGACCCTGTTGTTTTGGCTGTCTGAATTCTTGTTCATCAATGTTACACTTACTTTACAGGTCATTTGGCATCTTAGCATGCATTTACAATGAAATATAGAAATTAATTGCAGATTTATTTCAGTTTTCCCTAGGGTTTGCTCTATTCCTCTGATCTATATGTGTGGCATTTAGGCTTCTCTATTGCTTTTAAAGAAAAGCTGGCTCATGTGGCATCTCTTCTCATACCTGTCCTATTCTTCTTCCAGTACAATATGTTTCTGGAGGAAGAAGACCAGATGGACCTGGTCTGATAGGTGAATTGCTGGAAGCAGAATATGCCATGTGTTCCTCAGTAGCAGTAATAGCAGAGATTTTTGTACACTTCTCTGTTCTGCCCATGTCACAAGGCCAGGCTTTATCAGCACTGTTTGTTGGAGAGGGTGGGGGATTGTTTCAGATGGAGAGCAGATAGATCTGTGTTTGCCCTGCCTCCATGTGCTCTGCATACTGGAAAAAATACATCATCAGCTGATAAAAATGTGATGACTCAGTTAAATGCAAAAGGAGAATTATTTCCCACTGTTCACTCAGAGCTTTCACGTGCAGCCCTACTCTTTTATGGATTACTTTCACTGTAAGTTATGATTTAGTTTCATAAGCAGAGAAATGAAACCTCCACCCTTGTATGTTGAATGGATTTGTTTTTCGGGAGCATGAAATGCACTTGCACATGCTTGGTCCTCAAATCTGCCCCAAATGGCCTGAGAGAAAGAAAACTTGGAAAGGAAGGGAGGTATGATGATACAGACAAGAAAATAGAGCACTGAGTTCTATATTCCAAAAGATTTGATGTATAATTTTAGGAATTCAGTTTCCTTGTCCTGAGCTTCAATTAGTTTTTTAGAGGAAATTAGTATTTCCTCTTCTGCACCCCTTCAGATTACCTTATAGTTTATACTAAAACCCCACTAGAACCCTCTGCTGAAAAAGCCATGGAAATGCTCACTAACACAGTATCAGGGAAAAGGCTGATACTTGATCCACAATCTGCTCTCTGACTGTGGATCAAATGTCATTGTTAATGAAGTGGAATAGTGGAAACTTTAGCACAGTATGTCTCTTAACATTTTAAACTTAATGTATCCTGTCAGGAGGCCAAGTCAAACTCTCAGCTAACCTTTATAAGCCCCAGCTCCACCCTCTTCTAAGATATAGGTGATAGATGCAGTTTGAGAAAAACATCTGGATTGACAACAGCTCTTAGCAATAATGCTCATTCACTCAGCTGAAAAGAGATGAGTAGATTAAAGTATCCACTTGAGACTCCTCATGTGTTGGTCGCTTCAGCCAAGAGATAAGGATTTAGAGATGTAAAGTGTTTCATTTATAGATGACTTTTCTAGCAGATGATCATCCTACATCAGCCTCTGAAGTGTAAAGGTAAGACAATTTTAGCCAATTAGGTTCTTTTATCTGCACTAAAGAAGTTGATAACAATTTTATGAGATTTCCCAAATTAGTCTGGTGTGTAAGATAGGGTTCAAGGGCAACTATGTTATAACTGAGTTGTTGCCCTTTATATTTTGCTAATAAAGAGGCACTACTACTTGTTCTGCCAGTTAGGTAAAGAGTGAGTAAAGAGAAGTTGATGTTCTACCTGACTAATAAAAGAATTTTCACAGACCTGTCATTGCTGTCACTCTAAGCTTCTGTCTTTGGACCATAAAACTCAATAGATTGTCTCCAGCTTTCCCCTAATTTTACTGTATGTGAAAGAAAAAGGATCTTCTAACACATTACTCTCTGAAGACTGTTTTTTCCTTTTCTCTGAGACAATTTTACTTCTAAAGAAATACTGTCTGTATCTCTATGAGACTCGAATTAATTTTTCTTAAGTTAGTTTAAGTTGTATTTTGTTCTAATAAGTTCATAGTAATTTGCAAATGTTTTTTAGCAAACAACTGCTTTGGCATTCCATGGCTAAGCAAGATTAATTTAATTAAAATTGCTAATCTGGGGGATGTCCTTTACAACAAGGGATTTTTTATACCAACTGTTTTATCCAATGCTCTCTATCTCTTCTAAATACAATCAGCTGTGAGAGAAGCTGGCATTCAGTGGGTTTCCATGACAGCAGCTGAGGTAAAACTAGACCAGCTATTCCAAAGGTCGCTCACTGAAAGGCACAGATCAGAAAAGTTGATTTAGCAATGTGACCACGGGAGCACAAACAACAGAATTGCAAGAACCCTTGGTTATCATAACCAAGGAGAAATGCAGTATAGGAGGAAAGAGAAGATTCTGCAAGTCTGTGAGTAAAGAATTACAGGGGCTATAAGGTGCCTTATAGAGATGCATAAACACATATTATTGGTATACGGCAAAGTGAGTTCTTACAAAAAGTGCTGTACTCTAAAAATAAAGAGGGGACACAGGTGCAAAATAAAGAAGGCATTGCAAGTGAAGATGATACATTTATTTGGGTTTGGTATAGGTGTAGTGATATATGTACAGCATCAAATAGTTGCCTCAATCCCAGTAACTCTTTATGTGTTTTCATTCCAAGTCCTAATATGTCTAAAATGCTACTAAAACCAACCCTGCAGCACTTGCTGTCTGGCACTGACATTTGTCTTCTACTCAAACCTGGATCATCCTGAACAAATTAGTTAGCTCTCTGACTTGTCCTAAATGCTAGTAAACATCTACCTGGAAGTATTCTTCAATTTCATTCTTTCCTTAGTTTTCCTTTTTAGACTGGGAGTGGTAGAAGAATTAGGAGCTAATGGCACCAGCTGCTTTGGTTACCAATTCAGTAGGATCAGTTTCTGATCCCTAAGCACTTTGTTAATTTGCTTCTACTTCTCAGTCTTTGGACCACATAAGGTAGACTAATGTTTTAAAATGTTAGCACTAACTCTAGATGGACTGTAAAATCTCAGATAGGGGTGTATTTTTTACAAAGCAGCTGTAAGTAAGAGCTTAGAAATGACACTGAGAAAACTTCAAGTCAGGAAGTAAATATTACAAGCAACAAGTTGAGACATCCCCATTCATTATGCTGAATAACCATACAACCTTATGGATAATTCATTACATACTTTTACATTCAAATAATTACTACATGATTGTCAGAAGAAATTTCTACTTGATTGAATAGCTTCAGCCTTATGAATCACTTTTACCTGCAAAGGAAGTAGAATGCTCCAATTGCAAGAACTCCTAGAAGAAGAAGGGAAGCCAAGAAAGCTGCAAACAGGTCACCTTTTGTTTGGGATTTGATGCTGGGCAGCAAAACTTCCTCACAACGAGCTCCTGTGTAATTCTCAATACACCTGGGAAACCAAGTTGTATTTGGATTAGATGGTAGCTTGTCATCTACAATGAAAAGCATAAAAGGCTTCTTCTGGGTAGAGAACCTGTGATGACTCAATTCAAAAATTATATTTGCTTCACAGCAAGTTTTGTTACAGAATTTCCTCTCACCTGATTATTTCTGGAACAAAGGGAATTAGGCATGTTGGGCATCAAGTTTACATTCTGATCCGTACTGCTTTTATATATTAAGTTTAATATACTCATCACTGACAGATTTAATTAATTAAGCTACTTCTTTAGTGTTAACTGTGTCATGCCACTGATTCTCACACAGTAGTCATGCTTTCTTTTCCCTGTTTCAAGTAATTTTCTGGCTTCCTTTGTTGAAGATGGTAGTGTCAGCTAAAGAGATCAAGGACATGAGAATTCACTGAGACACAGTACAACTTAAACTGTGAAAGTAGTTTATGCAGTGTAATAATTTGTGCCAGAACATGTTACATGCTAGGTGAATAATTTCTATGTAGTTCTCCCTCTTGGGGAGAACTACATAGAAGTCTTCTCTACTATGCTTATTTTATGTGTTGAGCTTCTTAAGACTTCTTCTGAAGAAAGGATTTAAACAAATACGATATTTTACCATGGTAAAATGATATGATGTTTTAGTAAAAACAAATAAAATCAATGGCTTAGTAATTCCTATTCAGCCAAAAATAGGCAGGTTGAAGCTAATCTTCATTTGTTATGTATTTTGCACTTATTCTGCTAAGTTTTCTTAAGGAATTGATTTCATTACAGAAAATGGAAAGCACTTTTTTCAATATCTAGATCCTGTGTGTATTTTTTATATATGTAAATTTGCTTCTTTCTATTTGTATTACTAAAGATCTTGCTCCTTCTTGCTATTTCTGGCACTGAAGTCATAATAATCTGTGACATAAGCAATTTCAGGCTCCAGCTGAGAAAAATGGGCTAAACTCTGCAACATACTTGAAATTCTCAAATGCCATTGGCAGCTGCAAGGTATAATTTCAGATGAGGGTAAGAAGGTGGAGAGGGGAGGAACTGCAAAAAAAGAAGTATGCTTAGCATATCTAACTAGGACCAAAGGTTCCCTGTGAGTTTTCTGACATGATGCCTGATGTGACTCCCACTACAATTTCTGTAAGTTATGAACCAGTATTTCAGTACTGCTGGCCTAAACCACTGCACAAACAGTTAGTACCCTTTTAATTCTTTGTCTTTGGAAATACAGAAGATTTAGACACTAAAAAAAGACATCTAATTATCATCATATATTAAAGCTATGCAACTGATCAAACAGACAGCATTTACTAAGGACAATCTGAGGCTTTTCAAAGTCATGATGTTTCACTGCTGGGAGAAGCAAGGACAGGCAGACGGCTCTGATTGCTTGAGATAATGTTCCAGATATTTATTCTAAGTGTAGTGGCTTTTCAGTGGCCTATTTCTGAAATACTGTAGAATACTTTAAGGATAGAAGTGTAGTTTGAGTGGGGCATTGTTCTCTAGCAAGTGAGAGAGAAATGCTTTGGAGAGCTGAATAGAGTAACAAGAAAAGAAAATGGAAAAAGAAATTCATAGGAGTATTCTTGAATAGCAATGAAAACTGGAGAATAATGCAAGGCTAAAATGATAGAGGAAGAAAAAAGTAGGTTTTGGCATCAAATTAAGGCTCATGGAAAAGTTCTAAAGAATGAGTGTAAAGGGAGTAAGTCAGTAGCCTAAAGAGCAGAATAGAACAGGAGGAAGACAAGACAGTCACAGCTGCAGAGAGCTGCATAGAGGATCAGGTAAATGGTAAGGGTTACTGAGCTGCTGTGATAGATGAGAGTGAGTTGGTGTCAACAGTGGATGGAAGCTGTATTCATGTTCTGCAAAGACTGTAGGAAAACAATTGGGAATGTGTTGACAGCACAGCAAAAGGGTCACTGAGATCATAGCACTTCCTACAAAATAGAAAACAGAACCAGATGCTTAAGGGGGTCAAAAGTCTTTAAGAGGGAAAAGAGCTTGCAGGCCTAAGATTGTAAGGGTAAAACTACAGTGATATGGATCCAAGGTTATAGCAAAAAGAAAAAAAAACTATACTAAAGAAGCACATGCCAAACTTAAGACATCCTGGATGCTGAACCTATTAATTCTGCATGGTTGTAACAAAAACAAGTTATAGAAATATGACTAGCTAGTTTGATAGTATCTGTTTAAAAGTGAGGAATGTATTAGGGATTATAAAACTACCCGTCCACTTTCTCTATGCTGGCCTGTTGACACACTTGCTGAAAGTGATTTTGTGCTATCTAGAAAATGCTGTAATGTAACCTAAAAATTATGTAGGTTTTCATAGGAACAAGAAAATTAAGATGAGATATCTTTGGGAAACATTTAAATAATAAAATTATAGCTGATGTGAACAAGCTGTGCTACAGCTACAGCATTTCTGAAAATCCAGATGTTCAGATATTTATTTGAACAAGCTTTTATTGCTGTCACCTTTCCTGATGTACAAATAGGTAAAGGCCTATGTTAAAGATAGAAGCAACTGATGCTTTAAGACAACCAGGAAAGGTTTCTTCTACAAGTCCTTGCTAAAATACGTGAGAAAGAAACTAAGCATACTTCAGTAATTAGCAGTGGAATTCTCTCAGAAGACCTGCTTATCCTGTTGCACTAGCAAAGCTCAAATAATTTCAGTGGAGTTACATATGCAGTGACTGCAAGCAAGACAGAACATGGTCTCTAACAAGCACATGGGCTGTGAACATACCCCAGAATGATGGTGTCTGTATAGTCTCTCCTAGAGGCAGCCAGTCTTACTATACACAGCCTTAAAAGTCAGCAGCAACTCCGTTTATGGATGCCTAAAAGCAGCACACAACTTAAGAGCAGTTGTTGACATGGCAGGCACTGGTGTACCTGCACTTGAATGAGCCGGGGCAAAGCCCAGAGGACCAAGTGCAGGCTGTAGTAAGGAGGAGTTGCACTCATTGAGTTTGTGTTCCCTGGCCAGGTGTTGCTGTTGTACATCACCTGCATGCTGTTACCCTGCTCTTGTTGCACGTGCCCGGTGCTGCCTTTAAATGGCCCTACTATGCAGCATTCCAGAGGTGATTTTTCAAATGGAAAAAAGGTCTTTCCCCCTCTAAGAAAATTGAATTTCTAATTCAGAGTTGAAAGACAGCAGCCTTCAATGTTTGAGAAAAATCTGTGACTAAAACCTCCCATTTTCATCTGGCATCCAGATTTCTGCTCTCCTAGATAGCTGCACACACATGCACACACACCCACACCTCTTGTCAGATGAGATGAGCCAGCCTTAACCATTGTATACAAATGTCCTATAGGAGCTCCAGACAAAACACTAGCATATGGAAAGAAACCTATAGAATCTTTCAGCACAGGGTATTAATCATGTCAGCATCAATGCAAGGTGGAAGAAAATAGACTGCATTGGATCAGATGTCAGGAGATGACCAGGGGTCTGCAATTACATTGATCCTTTACAATCTATCGGTAACTGAAACATAACAGCCCTGCAGTAACACGGGCACCACTGCTGTCTCCTCTCAGATGCTGTTTGTTGGACAGTGCAAATGATCCTATGGCACTGGGACTTAGGAAGAAGGTAAAGTTTCTTTCTTTGCCAGACTCTAAGGTGGACATCATAAGGAAGTATCTGATAGACTGTAAAAGTAGGAAGTAAAAAAATGGAGTCAAATATGCACACAGATTCTCACTGCTTTGCATTATACTATCAGGGTGTTGACTTCAGTTGTCATTGAGTCTTCCTTCAGTCAGGAAAATTTTGGATACTTCTTGGTATAAATACTACTTCCATGTAAATACAAAGCTCTGAGCAGAAAAAGACGAGAAATAATCTGCTTGTCAATGCAATTCAGATTTCATGGCGGATAGCTTCAAAATCAACATAATCTTCAGTCTGTAGCAGACTCCTAAAAGTTCTCCTAATACATTCGGTCTAAGAACATCTAGTAAGTATGAAAAAGAATTTAGAGACAAAGTGAGTAAGCAATGGCAAAGTTAATTGGACATCTAAGCAGGTTTTTAAAAAGTTTTGCATTTAGAGAAGTTTCAAAACAGTTACTCTCTATACACAGAGAAAAATAAAATGGAGAGAAGTTGAAAGAATGGGTTATTCTTCCCTAAAAGAATGGCTTCTTCTCCCCTCCCTTAGTTATGTGTTTGTATGGGAAGTTTTCCCTATCTGGCAGTTATATTAATTCAGATTGCTAATACTTTTCAGACACATAAGAGTGTGTTGCATTTTATATTGTATGTCCGATTAAAAAGAAATCTTAATTATTGATCCTTTTAGCCATACTTTTGGTGTGAATTCTAACTTTTGTTACTACCTTTCAAGCCAAAAGCAGAATTGAAAAATACTAATTGAACAGTTTGATTTCAGAAGAGCCTGAGGTACATTAAAATGTAATTTTGGAGGCAGAGAAAAAAGAAAAGCCCAAATTACTGGGAAGCCCCTCCCTGGCAACTTGCAGGGTGTATATTCTGAAGGCTGAAAGCACAGCAAGTGTATGACTTGTGGGGATGTCTGAACCAGGGAATGGCAGAGGGCCAGGCAAGGAGGGAGTGTACAGAAAGTGGCAGAAGGAATTTGCATGGGATTTACTGGATTATCATAGGAAAGGTGGAGGAGAGATTCCATTATGATGGAAGCAAAGGAAGGGAAAAAGGAAGAAATATCCATGAAGATATACAGGAATTTCAGGGAGAAGATTTGCAAGGTCTGCCTGTGTCTCTTGCAAAACTTATGCCTCAGCAGAGTAGGATCCCTGTCCCAAAATGAGAGCATTTACTGTTGATTTCTGTGTGTACTGCCCTCTGGAGCAGAGCTCTGTGCATGTTGTCTTATACCATCTGTATTTTGCTTGAAATACAGAAAGAATCCTCTCAGAAATATGCCAAGTGTAAGAAAAAATGGGAGCACCAGAGCTTCCCCTCAGAAACCAAAATCTTCACTTAATTCTGCAGTGCATTAATTAATTCTTATGGGACAGCTGTGCATCAGGTGCTGAGCCAAACAGCTTTCAGCCTTCATGCACCTGAGGCAGCTGCTTTTCCATCCTCCTCTGTCCTGCTGCCTGTTTATTTAGTTCATTTGAGTGTTCCTGGGTTTGAAGCTCATCTGGTTTATTGTGACAGGTGTGCTTTTTACTGCTGAGAACATGAACTCCTTGTTGGGAAAGCAGTGAGGGAAGATGGCAGCTGAGCAACCACATGTTTTAATGCATGTCAGCTGTATTTAAAATCTGCTACTGTTGCACATGGGGGGGGGGGGGTGTCAACTAATGTTCAACACGTATTAAATCTGTGCCTTGGATAAATCTATTTCTGAATGATAAAAAAAACCCTGACATTCCAAAGGTAAACAACAGTTCTTCATTTGTATCATGCTACAAAACACATATTTCTAAAAAATGATATATTTTTCTTGGTCACATGGTGAAATTACTTCCAATGATGTTGCACAGAGTAACTCTGCTGAGCACAACACATTTGTATGACTAAGTACCATGTCAAGGCAAATGTGTTTTAAGGTATTTTTACAGTTTGCTAGTCTGTTCTTTCTCCATCTCCTCCTTTTTTAATTAACAATCATTCAGCCCTTGATTCTAAAAGTGATTTGAGTTTTCTTTCAATAGGACATGATAATTTGAGAACGCTGGGGAGCTTTGGGTGGGATTTGGCAGAAACCTTCCTCAAAGAAACTGTGCAAGTCTGTGATGATGCCAGTCATGAAGTTCCAAAGCACCAAATATTTTCTGAATTCTGCTGAATGGTAATGTATTTTTCCTGTTGTTTCTATTCACATCACTGCTGATTACTAAGATATCTGTGTGTAAACAAAACCTTTCTCATCTATAATTAGCCTTCTCTGACTGATTAAGGAACATGCTTAGAATGAGGATGTGCTTAAATAGAATGCTGCTATTTAAACCCATCTAACTTCATAATCAACCACTAGATAGAGAAAAAATAGTTGATAATTTAAATGCTATAAGATTGCCTGAGTATAACAAAAATGTTCTTAAGATGTTACTTTTCTGCTTCAGCAGATTATAAAAACCTGTAGTACCTGAATTGAAAATTACTTCATTTGGAGCTGTTAAAGTGTAAATTATCTCTGCTGACTAGTTTGTGCTCCTGAAGAATGAATTTTTCTAAGTATTTGTTACTTCATATTTATAGTCATTGCACTGAATACATCTTTCTTGTTACACAGTCCAGCAGTAGTTGAGAGGGTGCTTTGAAATTGTGTAACTGCTGCTCTTTAGTTTAACCATTCATTTTTCATTTATGTACAATAATACAGAATTCCTTCTAGAAAAAAAAGACATGTATTTCAAAATGTTTTACTTTTTTGTGTAGTATTCCTTTTTATATTGCATAAGCTTGCAAGGTTTAGCACATAGAATAAATCGTCATACAGCACTTCAGAGATTTAATCTCTCTTCTGGATCTGATTCGTTGTGACACTGAACAATGACAGTGATATGCTGTGTATATTTTTCAATGAGCATTTACCACAAAATTGCCTCTTTTCTCCCTGTCTAAATAAATGAGTTTATGTGCTTGAGTTTAAGTATTCAGATTGAACTGTCCCAAACAAAAGGAAGTAATATTTTAATTAGGCATCTGGGAAAAGATGTTGTTTCCTTCTTCAACTTTTTTATCCAGTTATCATTAGTTATAGCTCAAGGCAGAAGAGGAAACAGAAGTTGCCATGGAAGAAAAAAGGTAATATCCTTAAGTATTATTTAATATTTGTCTGAATGCCAATTTTTTTGTTAAGCAAACCCATTAAATCAACCATAATTTATTTTGATGGATGATAACTCAGAATTAGTAAATGCAGGACCATGAAAAGTGGCAGTTTTATTTAGCATCTTATGTCTTGTAAAACCAGAGAATAAAAAGATAGGGCAGCATTTATGCAGGAAATGTATCCACATGCAAAAACAGGAACTGCTTGTTTTCCTGTTTGCTGCATGGGCTTCAGAAGGAAGAATGGTTCTGTTATGGAGTGGTGTAAGAAGGATCTGTATTTGCTGCCTTGATGTTTTTTGTCAAGTAGTCTTTGGCTGCTCTTTGAGCATTTCAACATGATTTGAAGAATGCAGTAAGTCTTGAATTACATTCTTTTTTTCCCCCTTAAAAGATTATATTATTTTTTGTGTCTCTGCATTTTGTTCTGGTCAGGTCATTTTATATTACAAAGATTTTTGCAACATAAATAATTTGTAAGAAAAACTGTACTTTGACTTTCTGAATGCCTTTACCACAGTTTATATTCCATGAGGCAAGGGTATTTTGTTCCTTCTGTATTGTAATGAGGAAATATGGCTCTAATTATAGATATAATCCTGAATGCATACATAACTGAATACTGTTCCACCTGACAAGAAAGTATACACCAAATATACACATTTATTTTTCTCATATTGCTATGTCTCTGTAAACTAGGTAAGTAATAGATAATTGGTATTTTCTTTTAGATAATGCTTTAGCAGTGATTCCTTAAAGAGGGGAAAATGGAGAAATAGTCTTTAGACAGCTACTGTCCAATACTTAGACACACAAACTTTAGTTTCACTGACCTGCAGAATGGACTGGATACAGTAGGAATCATATAACAAATCCCTCCATTTAGGCAAAAAGATCCATAACTGGTGCCACAGAGTTCTTCATGATCTTAAAAATAAGACCAAAACAAACACTGAGAATAATAGACTTTAAACCAAATAAACACAAAAATAAATTACCACACAAATGAAACCTGAGCAAAAAAGGTTTGGGTCTTGCCTTCCAGGCCAGCAACACAGAGCATGATTTTGCAGAACTGTTTAATCTTACAATATGCAGAAAAGATCAAAAATTTATCACCGTATCAGACGTGAAACAGCTAAATTAGATGAATAAATCAAACTCTCTCTTGCAGTGAGAAATTCTCCATTTCTTCTTTTGCCTTTCATGACCACTCACCATAGTGAGTACAGTGATTCACACGATGACCTATATGAAGTCTGGTTTGTCCTATTCCAGTGGCACAGTTACCAAGTTACCTTTAGCTTAGTTGGCTCCTGCAATAAAGTCAGTCAGGCAGATGCACCCAGTCCCAGGTAAGGGCCAGGACATTCTGGGCTGCATGAAATCTGAACTGTAGCAC